GTCTCTGTACTATTATAGTAGAGGGGCTTTAGTCCAATTTTTTAACCACTTTAAAATCATCCAAAATGGCCCCCAATTTTTAGTACACTTTCTGATACACCTTATGCTATGTAGAAAGTTTCAGCCGATTCCGAGCTTAAATTTTTGAGTTATGGCTATTTTTAAAAATGAGCAAATTTTTGGAAAATTTCCCTGTACCCTGTTCCCATGGTTTTTCCAAAAATGGCTCCGAAATCACCCCAAATTTTTATTACATTTTCTGATACATATTGATGTCTTTGTGCTGTGTAGAAAGTTTCAGCCAATTCCGACTGTAAATTTTTGAATTATGACTTTTTGTGATCAGTTAATCAAATTCACTAATTCAAGCCCATCCAAAAGTACCTAGTATATGGTAGAGTATAACTAACTTACCTCCACCATTTTGACAAACTGTGGGAACATTGGGTTCCTATTAAGTACCAGGAGAGGTACCTCAGGTAGAGTATCAGGTATTGATATGGTGGCAATAGCACAAGAGAGAGAACTCAAATCAACCTCATCCAGAGACCCTTCATCATCATTAGTCTTATGATCATCTGATCCATCACTTGATTCAGAACTACTGGAGTATATATACTAATGAGAGATGATAGAGGGAGAGGAGACATTATAAATAAAATGAATATATGGCTCATTGAGGTTTATAAATAAATGTAATTGTAAATTTCCAGTAATTGTAAAAATTTATTTAAATTTACAAACAAAATGATTATACATAAAAATTCCCATAATTAATGATTTCCACCTTACGTCTAATTCACTAAATTATTTTTTAGTCCAGATGATTGTTGGCATATACACTAGATATATAATCCATTAAATTTTTTAATCTAGTACTCAGTGAAACATTACATTATGTCCTTACTCCAGTGTGTAGGGTCCTCACTCCTTTATTTAATAAATGAGATAGTCTAGAAGTCAAGAGCTGATTGTTTGATTTTGTTCTACTAAGAGATGAAGAGAGGGAGAGAAGCTTTCTACAACTGGACAAGGAACGCCATTACAAACCACGTGTCTACTCCGTATACTATTCAGAAATATAGATACCGTAGGTCGGGATATATTCGCGGCTGCAATTATTCGCGGTCATAAAAAAATTTCAATTAAAAACCATGGAAACCGAGGTGTTATTTTAATGGAAAACGGCGCGATAGTGAAGAAAAGCACCTTGCTGCAGTATTTTTGAGCTGTTGTTCTTCTTGTGTTACTAACCCTTGGGCTCTTTGGAGCTGCTTTACCGGTTCTTTTCAGAACTAGTGCCTCGCCGTATTTTGGGACTCTCCACCCATTCTAGTTAGTGTTTATTGACTTGGGTGTGGTTTATTATCACCACCACGCGGACCAGCAACAATTTGCAGCAAAGAGGCTGAAAGAACTCTGAGGTAGCGGTCCATACAAGAAGTTAACAGATAGAGAAGGACTCGCTATTGGTGAATGGCTCCACTATAGCTGCTAAAGAACAGATGAATAGCTGACTAAGCTGAACACTAAACACGTGGTCTTAATTGTCATAGCAACGCTTAACAGTTTCCATGGTTTTTAATTGAATTTTTTATGACCGCGAGTACTAGACTACGGAGTAGCTACTTTAGTTTATAAGTCCACATTTTTGCGTGGGTGTATCCTTCTCATTAAAGGGAGGCTTGCACGCGAAAATGAAATTTGAGATTATTGCTAATTTTTAATGTAAACTACCCAAATAGACTATTCCTAGTTGCATTCTTGCATTGCACTTGCTTTGGGAAAGTTAGAGCTTGCTAAATTTGCTGGGGCCATTGCTTCCTGTTAGGGGGCGCGGTCATTGATGACATCACAAGGGGAACCAACATGAGCAACTTCAATGATTTACATGCAGAAATAAAGAGAAAATAACTTGACAAAAAGAAGGATTATTCATTGACAGTTAAGTTGTGGGTGCTCTGATACTTATAAAGACAAGGTAAGCATAG